TTTGTTTGTGAGAGGCACTTGGATAAGTGATTTGCTTTCTGTAACCCTGATTCGAAGAGACACTTGGATAAGTGATTTGCTTTCTTTTGGTGTTGCTGTAATAGCTCTTTGTTTTTGCATTCTGCTGCATAACCTTTTTGCCAGAGACTTTATTTATGTTTATTTTTGGGCTCGCAGCCAGCAAGAGCCACGACTGATAAAGTTATTTCCTTTTAAGTCTGTCTGACTGTCGTCTGTGATGGAGCGAGGAAGGGGGGTCAGAACAGAAGACCTAGCGTCATTCAGTTAAAAATAATCATATTGCTGATTTCCAGTTTTCAGCAGAACTTTATCAAGATCCACAGATTTGGCTGCACTTTTGCAGTAAACAGTATAGTATATTTATTAGGGCAGTGCAGCGCTTCAGAGTTGATTCTAAAAAGTGAGTCTGTTTTGGCTTTATGACCTTTCTATCTCAGACGATTGGAGAGGCAATGAAATGGAACCCTGGTGACTTTATAGCAGGAGAAAAAAAAAGACAAAAGCCCAGCAAAAACAGGGAATTATGATTATTTCTGCCAGGTTTGGAACACATTCTCTGTGTTAGGCAAATGTTATAACATCTGTGCTAGTGAAGCATCATTGCTAACAGTATTTGCAGCAAAAATTAGATTGCAGTAGGATGGGCTATCATTGACAGAGGTGAAGAGGCATTCTTACTTAAATGTAGCAGCCAATCAAAGTGCAAGAGTTTGCCCAGAAATAACACAAAGCTGAATAATAGCAATTTGAATCAGCACAACTCAGCTTCCTCTATTGTCATCTCTGGGGAGGGAAGCATTAATAAGGATTGTGTTCATAGTAGACTGGGGAATACAAAGAAATATTTTCCAAATCTCTAAGCGATCATACTTCTCTCATCAGAAAAATCATTACGGAACTAAGTAAGAAGGATGTATTTGAACTAATAATAAATATGCCTGATTTAGAAACACAGTATAACATATTAAGAGCTTTATTTCTTTACCAGTTATTTCAGATGGTCATATTTTTACCATCTGAAATACTCAGAATTGATTCTGACAATCTTACATCAGAGTTTCTGCCATGTCTTTGCTGCAGATCTGTAGGGGAAAA